GTCAATTCGAAACGTTCGTTGATTTTTTGAAGGTTCTGGTTTGGTTCTTGAAACATATGTTTCTTTCTTTCTTTTTTATTTTTTTATTATTTTTTTTGTTGACAAAGATTTTGTTTGTTATTGCGAGGAAATATTATTTTTTTCTTCTTTCATTTGAATGATTAAATAAAACAATTGCTTATGAGATTTTTTTTTTTTGAGAAAATGTCGACGTTTGGAGGATATGGGTTTTTTTGTTGTATTTTTATTGTTGTTTTGTTTTTGTTTTTTATTTGAACATACTTACGAATCTTTTTAGCAGAAATTTTGTCGTGTGCGGGTGTCGACATTCGAAAATAGAGTTTGTATGGTCCTTCTTCTTTGTTTTGAGAACTTTTGAGAGTTATGTCTTTTGCCCGTATGTTCCACATGTAAGTTTGCGTCTCACCGAAAAAAATAAAGAGAAGGATTTTTTTTAGTGTAGTTTATTTTTTTTGTTCGTTTGTTCTTGTACCAGCCGTGTTTCGTTTCCTGATGTTGCATTTATGGTTTTTGTTAATGTCTTCTTTGTCAGTCTTTGAATCACCCTTTTTTTCGTGTTACTAACTTGTTGCTGTGTTTTTTTTTTTTTAGTTTTATTTTTTTTTGTAGCTTCGACTTCTTCGGTTGTCAAACCTGAATCCAATATCTTCGAATGTTGGTTCAGCTCATTTTTTTATTTTGTTTTATACTAACTTTACTTTTGGTTATGTGGTAGTTTGGGTCCTCGAATCATTTACCAATCACTAGAAACCCCTGATAACAACAGGCAAATTGTGCATCTGCAGTTAATGACACAACATCATTGTGATTAATTCTCCTGTTAACCCTTTTTCATTAGATGATATTGTTGAGACATAGGTCACGTCCTCCTGTTGGTGAGCCTCCTGCTTTTTTGGATTACTGGTTTGATCCTGGGCACAATCGGTACATGTTGTCCTCTTTGGAGCCATGTACCTTGATTCTGGTGGTGAGACTGACCGATCTCTCATTTTTATGAGATTACAGATTCTACTCATTGGAGTATAAGATTTATTTATTTTTTTTAAGGAGTGTTTGCATGTTTCTCTGGAAGAAATATGCCTTTGTAGGAATTGAATTAACCCATATCGTATAATGCTGACCCCTTTGTCTTTTATTTTAATGTGAGGTAGAGACGAAAGCGTATCCATTCACAAGACTACTCCCTTGTGTCTTATGATGATTACTCGTAGGGTCTGCTATATGGTACTGTCAGTAGATTTGTTATTGAACTGCTTGCTGGTAGTTTCGATAAGTTTTAACCGATCAGCTTGATTATAAAAACCGTAAGTCGGGTCTGTCTTATGAAGGACTAGGGTTTTAGCTTTTTTCCCAGGTGTTTGACACCAAATAAAAACAGACCAATATCTGTTTTATAGAGTTTTCAGGATAAAAAAAACTCTGGGTTCGTGTTACCAATCATAGTTCGTTATTTTCTGATGTTTTAACAGTTTTTCACGAGCATAAATGTTAAACAACGTCATGTAAAAAATTTTTACGCGGTTGTGGTTATATTATGGGTTTCTATCGCATAGAAAAAAATGAAACCTCCCTTCGTCGAAGGTTTGGCATGTCTTGATGATTGTATTTTTGACGGTCTTTTGACCTTGAAAAAATTGAACTTTGAAATAAA